AAAAAATCCCTTTTTTTTTTTAAAAAAAAAAAAAAAAAAAAAAAAAAAAAAAAAAAAAACGTATAACATGTTTTTGGGATTTCTGCTTATTGTCACAGGTGGGGGAGAGAGTGGTGGTGGGGGGGGGGGGCAGACGAAGGGAAGGAAAAGTGACCTGTCCTTTTATTGGGCAGCTGATGATGTCATATCACCACACAGATTCTTTGGTCTCTAAGTAAACCAGCTCATCCACATGCTGATTGGCTGCTGGTCTCAGAGAGGGGGGAGGGTGTTTTTTTTTTCTTTTTTTCTCTCTCTCGTTTTCTCTTGCCTCTGGATTAATCCCTGTTCCTGAGCGAGCTCATCTTTGTGTTTTATTTCCTGCCTTTCTCGTAACTTCTGCAATTACTCCTAAATTCCACCTCATAATTTCAAGCAAAATTGGAGGACTTAGAGGCACAAGTGGGTGATTAGATGCGTGCCTTCTCCTTAGGATGCAAGCAATCTTGTTAACAAAAGACTGAAAGTGTTGGGATGCTTCTCCAGTTTGAAATCCAATAAAAATTAGCCCCTAGCTTGTTTTCCTCTGGCTTGTTTTCATGACTGTGACAAACAGCGGCCTGAACTCCGCATTGCACTGGTTGGCCTCTGCAGTGAAACACAATGCCATGGGCCTCCATCGTGCTCATGTCTGGGGCTACAGGTGACCAGCTGTCTGCCTACGCTCCTCTCCTCAGGGACAGCTGGAGCCATCAATCAGCAAGCTGGCCCCCGCTCCCCCCCGTCCAAACCCCGAAGCCCTGTTGTGACCGTCTGCTCCGCCTGACCGCCACCACAACACCACTGAAAACATCGCAGGACTGCCTCATCTGGGCTGACCATCCTCTGGGGAACAAATGTATTTATACCCATTGCACTTTCTCTCATTTTCTCACATTACAATAATAGACTTTTGTGTATTTTAAAAGGATTTTCTAATAGCTTCAGCAATCTGTTGTTTTTTTCTTCTTCTTCCTTTTTTGTTTGATTAACAAATAGCTGAGCGTACACATACACGTGCAAACTGTTGTTTTTGTTCTTATTTTAACTTTCTCTAAAATTTTTATTGTTGTACTCAATGTCTGTACAAAGTGAATACTTGCGCACACAATGTTGGCCAATAATTCTGATTCTGCTGCTGATGCGGCCCACTTCCCTGTAATCTATTGTTACCAGCTACATAAAAGGTATTAAAAGTATGGGGTTTATTATCCCTCCTGATTACTTGTATCACATTAAACCTCTGGCACACGTGGTACTAGCGAACATGTCACTTCCCGATCCAAATCCATTTTCGACATGCAATTAGAACACACGTAATTCGGGTTGTGATGTTCATTCCCACACTCGGCTCTAACTTTGTTTGACACAAACAAGTATTCAAGAATACTTTCTCAAGGCAGAGCACCTCGTGTGTTCAGTGGCTTTCTCTGATTTTGTTTACGCCACGTTTTGAATTTTAGCTTCTCCATCCAATGTCCACATCTTAATTCAACAATCAGTTTTATGACGCCTCCGACGGCCATAAACCGCTTGGCTGTTGAGGCCACCATTCGCAGCACGTGCAGTCACAGTTCTTTCTCCCTCTGCAGATGGAAAGCATTGAAGCCCATTATTGCGCTCTTTGAGGGGCGTCTTATGAACTCTTTGGCACACTTTTAAAGAGAGTGGCCCTAATGTATTCAGGCCTGATTCACAGCGGCTTTGGCACTACCATCCCCCCATCAGGCATGCACACTCGCCTGGCTACTTTTTTTTTTTTTTTTCTCTCAGAAGAGAGAGGTAAACGTGTGAGACTCAGCGTTCCCTACAACTTTTCCTTGTTTGTTAAAAAGAGCAATTGATGGGCCTGACAAAAGGGACTTCAAAGGGGGCAGCATGAAAGGCAGGAGTCCTATGGTCAAGACATTTCCTGTTTATCTCATGAGAAGTTTATGAAGGATGCTTCATCACGGTCCCAGAAACTCATGAGGAGTTCTTTAATGCTGCCCAGATCTGACGGTTACATAACGCGAGCCTGTTGAAACAACATTGTCGAACTTGTGCCGGTGATCTGGTGTTTGCCAACTCCGCTGCTATAATTAGGCACTGCACTGCAGTGAACCACAGAAGAGGCCGAGTGAGTAAGAATGTCTCCAAGCTCTCCGGGACAGAGGACTAATTGTTAACACTGCTGATTATTAGGGTACTTTTTTTTTTTTTTTTTTTTTAAGGAGAGCAAAATTCCTCAGCAGCAGCTGTGACTGCCGCTGTTCATGTGACTGTCAGCTTCTTCCTTCGGGCTGTGGATGGTTCATTGTTGTGTCTTAAAGGGTTGCCGGGCGACAGGAAAGTGAGGCTGGGGTGGAGTCTGTCTGGACACACAGACTCCGTCACACACCCTCATCTGCTCTCTGCGGCACACCTTGGACACATGAAAACACAAAACAGCCACTCAGACAAGTATCATTATCAGCACGTGGAGTCTGGGCCGAGTAAACAGAAATCACATGGAGTATCATTAGATACAATACATGCTTTTAAATGCCCCATGGATTTGAGGTAGTTTAAGTCTCCTTCTGTTGGTCTTTCACATAAAATCATAGTAAAATTGTTGAAAAAAAAAAAAAAAACGAAAAAAGTTCTGAGGGTTTATTTATTTTTTTCTTGTGGCGTTATAACTGTCACCAGCTGATAAAATTTCCATCATTCTGACTTTGTTCAACCTTTTAAAAAACACAGCTTATCTATTTTTATTTAATATGTAACATATATTTATAATAAAGTTAATATTATGCTTTTTTTTTTTTTTTTAGCATTGTACAGTCTGTCACTTTCGCACACATTTTCCAAATTTCCAGACGAGCAGTGATCTCTGTTATCTGACCCACCGATTACCACAGAACCCTGCATAAATGCTGATTTATGTTTCCAGTGAAACTACTAAAGAAAACAGCCGACATGCAGTAAATCATGTTTGCATCCTGTTATGTGATAATAGTGTATCACTTATTAATTTGAAAAGGCACTTCAAACACTGTCGGTTCCCGTCGGCGGCTGTTTCTGCTCCTACTCAGCTTTGGTGCTTATTTTTGCCTTCGAGGGTGACGCCCTAAACAAGGAGACCCTCAGGCTCAACAAGCTGTTGAGGAAAAGGCTCCCTTATTAGCAGGCAGCAATTAGCAGGAGGCTAGGAACACTTCTTTGGGAAACATCTCCCCACATATCTGAGCAAAAAACCCCTCTATTGATTTTGGGCAGGATGCTTTGCTAGGCGTTTTTTAGGTGTAGCTGAGAAAGTAACGCCTGTCCATGGGCAGGGTCACTCAAAAATACCTGGGAGGAGCACATCAGAGGAGGGATGGATGACTCTGTCGTTTCCACTGAATGTGTTGCAAATGGATCGCGTCGGTATGTTACAACACCGTGGAATGCCAAATATGCGAACTGCTGTTGAACTACAGATGTACTTTACAGTCGCGAACGCTGTTGTCTGTATGCATTTATTTGTGACAGTGTTTAACAAATAAACCACCATTGTGCATTTTAGTGTTACATGTGCATTAATGAATATTTTTGAACAACACAACTGTAAATTACAGTTGTCCAGTTGTCCAAAACAATGGCTTTAGAACTGTGAGTAGAAATTGTAGATTCAGACATACTCAGGATTTGAATTAAAATTTTGTTAAATCACACTCAGGAACGATTTTTTATTTATTTATTTTTTTTAAGAATTCTTTAGCATGTCAAGTTCAATGACCTACAACAGCTCTTCCAAGGAAACTCCTCTGAAAATCAACTACTGCTGAGAAACCCAACTAACTAGACTGTGTGGAAATTCTCTCTCTCTCTGTCTCTGTCTCTCTTTCTCTCACTTTATCTATTTATCTAGTTTCAGAACCGGGCTAGTAGCACTGTTATCTTGCAGCAAAACAGTCCTGTGTTTGAATTCAGGCTTGGGTCTCTAAACATGGAGTTTTTGCTTGTGTGGGTTCTCTCTGGATACTCCATCTTCCCCCCACAGTCCAAAAAAATGACTGTAAGGTCAACTGGTCTCTCTAAATTGTCCTTAGTTGTGAGCGTGTGCACTCATTGGTGTTTGTCCTGGCGTGTCTTTGTGTTGCCCTGTGATAAACTTCTGACCTGCCCTGGGTGTACTCCGCCTCTCACCCAATAATAGGCTAATAGGCACCAGCCCCGGCCACAACCCGGCAACCCTGCAAGCATAGGTAAGTACAGCAGATATGTGCAAAAATAAAAGCAATGTAACATAAAACTTTCTAGATCAAGATGATACAGCCTGCAAATTTGCTCTGAGATAATTAGTCTATCTATAGACAGACCTACCAATAATTTGCAGAAACTTCTTTTTAAAATAACACTATTTATGAAATAGCATAAGATCATGTCGGGATGCCAAAAGCGGCAATACATTTTAAGTATTTTACAAAGAAATTCTGCAGTTATTGTTTGGCCTACTTTGTTCAATTATGTTTTTTCTCAATCTGCAAAATTGCACAGCATAAAATATGAGGGAAGAATAAATGTCCTGCTGCTGCACGTGTGCATGTCTGGATTACTTGTTGGCATGTTTGACGCCCTACTGAAAAATGAGGAAGGACGAGCAAGAACGAAAGCACACACGCTGGCTTACTGTATCGTCATCACATTGTGACGTTACAGAAGACTGGCTGCTTGTTTGTCATTTCCTTATATGGTACGTGTGCATGTTTGTTTCCTGTCTCTGAAACGATTCCTAATTTTTTTTTAAAGTCTATTTTATTTTATTTATTTTTTTTACAATTTTACAGTACTTTTATGTTTGCAGTGCTGTAAAAAAGTTGCGGTTTTTTCCAGACTTTGCTTTTTTTTGTGTCACCCTTACATGTTTTAGATAATTATACAGATATTTAAAATATAGTTCTTGTGTGACAGTTTCCTTTTTTTAAGCAATGAATTAACTATGATTAACCACCCTTTTTTTGGAAAACTGGGTTCAATTTCAACTCCTCACACTCAGATCTGATTATAGCATAAACTGTGGAACAAAAAAAATAATCACTTCACCAATCTGACAACAGGAAATATACTTGGAGATAAAAAAAAAACCAAAGGATGATGCAGATTCAACCATATTGGTTATTTACTAAAGTGTGTTTACAGTTTTAATGGTTTTCCTTTTGGTCACCTGTGGGAGATGTGTACAGAAAAGCATGACAATATCATGGAAAATGACATCTTCTTCTCTTGTCTTACTGGATTTAAAGAGTGGCTTTGAGAAATACACTTCAGTGTCACATTACATTTATACTCCAGAGAGCAAAGAAACTCAGGGGGTAGCTAATTAAAAGTCACCTGACAGTGATCAATTAAAAATCAAGTTAAAAAACTGATTTACTCCTATTTTCTTTTAGTTATGTCTGTGTATGTATGTTTATGGACGTAGGGAGGATAAATTGAACAAAACCATGTCGTCAGCATGTAGTTTTTATGCTCCTCAGCTGTAGAATCATAGTGAAACTGTTAGAAGAAAACCTCATATATCCATTTATATGACTTTCTAGGAAATAAGACAAATTTGCTTCTAAATTCAAGTTATACTTCAGCACATGCTTTTTCTGATACTTTCATAAGATATTTAGCAATGAAACAATGGAGGGTATTGTAAAACTGATCAACTTTTGCCCATCAGTTGGAAAACCTTTTTAATTCACGACCTAAAACATGACCTGTCAAGTACTTTTAAAATGTTAATTTGTTTCAAATGTGCATTTTAACACTTCTTGCCCAAATCCAATTTTTTATTTTTATTTTTACAAAGTCTGTCTTGCTTCCAGTGTAAATTTCTTCACTTTTTTTTCCCCCCACTTCAATTCTTGTTAAAGCACTTTGTTTCCCCTATAATGTTCACATTAAGATAATTCCTGTTTGTTATGGTAAACGATTGCGTTTCCTCTGAAAAAAAAAGTCTTCAGTTGTGCGCTCTGTCTGTAAAGAACGTGAGTCATACTCAGACAGCTTAGTCAGTGTTTTCCCTGAAATGCAACCATTGGCCACACCAATAATAATTTAGCAACTCACGTATCAAATGGAGATGATATTATTCTGTTGAGTAATCCCATCAGTCTTTAAAGATAGTTTAGCTGTAAATCTGTAAACGATTTGTACAAACTCACCGCTAGAGTCACGGCTTCATGCTCAATGTTTAACTGCAAATCAGTCACACACTGCTGCCTGCCTGTTAAGATATCCTACTCTCCCCCGACAAAAACAAAAAAACAAACAAAACAAAAAAAACACAAGCCTCTGGTGTGGTTTGTGTGCAGCAAAATGAAGCAATATATATGGCTCTTTTATTTTCTCACGCAGGTAATCGGGGTACAGTAACACGGGAGGACGGGCAGCCAGGCAGGAAGCAGCGTGGGCAGTCTCCCTGTGTCACCGCCTGCGTCAGACCAGACGCCAGGAGGGAGTTTTCCACTGACGAAAAAGGCTGCGCTTCTCGGCAGTCTGCTTCAGACAAGGGAAGCGCTTCGGCTGGTGAGGAGCCCAGGAGACAATAGCAGCGAGAGCTGTCTATACATACACACAATTCTATACGGGGGATTCGCGCACTGGTTTTTTGTTTGTTTGTTTTTCCCTCCTCCTCCTCCTTTTTTTTTTTTTTTAAATTCACATATTTTATTTCTTGCGCTTATTCGGATTACTCTCCCATCGATTGATTATCCAGTCCTTCTTTTGATTCCCAATGGTGATCGGATACTTAAATTGGTGAGTATCGCTATACTGAGCGGCGTAATTTATCTGCTTATTCTGTTTGAATGTTTTTAGTTGTTTGGTCGGTTTCAAGTATTTCCACATGGTTTGCGTAAGGGAACCGTTGTGACTGGTTGATTTTAAGGGCTTTTATTGTCTTTGCTGCCTTTCTTAAAAGAACGACTGTCGCTCAAGTTGTCGATTTATTGTTGTGAGGCGCTTGGACACTTAAATCTGTTAAAGTGAGTTTTAATCTAGCAACATATTTTTTTTTTTTTATTGACGCAAAATAAAATAAAAAATTAACAAACAAAGGTAGCGGCAAAGATTTTAAAAATAATAAGTTGACCGAGTCGCGATTCCAGCCAATCGGATTCATTCATTTGCTTCCTATATGCTCTTATTCTGGTTCATATAAACTCCACAGCTCTCATTTAGTGGTTGAACGCAACTATATAGAGTATTTTGTGCTCGTGGCTTCATTTATATGAACTGTTGATGAGGTCGGCTTTGTGTATTGAGTCTCTGTGTATTGAGTTTGTGTGTGTGGGTGTGTGTGTGTGTGTGTGTGTGTGTGTGTGTGTGTGGAGTTGTTCACCTCCGTGGTGCTGGTGCGCCTCTTGTAACGAGAGCGACTCCTGAAGGCAGTACATGTGAGCGGCCAGCTGACAGGGCTGCTGTCATTAGAATTAGCATTAATCATGAGGAATGATCGGGTCAGGGAGGGAGAGGGGGCGACTCTGTTTGCGCATGTGCAGAGTAGATTTGATCATTGATTCTTGATTAATTTGATTAGGATACTATTTCTTTTAAAGTGAATGCTCTGTGGCAGGTGGACGTTCAATGAGCACTTTCTTGTTTGAATTAACAGTTTTGCATGACAACAAGCAGTTATTTCTGAACGTATGAGTTAATTTGCAGATGATCAGCTTACATGTGCTGGATGTGTTTTATTGTCGCTTTAAAAAAAAAAAAAAAAAAAAAAAATTCGTTTTTTTTTTCCCCCAAATCCATTTTGG